GTACCAGGGATTGAACTCGAGTCCTTGCGCAGGCCACCGAACCGCTGAGCTAAATCCCCGACCCCGAAATGTGCTTTTAACTGGGAGGTAGCTCAGCCTCGGCAGTAGAATGCTTGCCTAGTGCTGGTAAGACCCTGGGCTCCATCCTCAGTGTGCAAAAGAATAATAAAAAGGAAAGGATTTATCCTCAGAGGCATTGGCTCTATATGAAAGGTATGATTGATGAATACAACGTGTGTTTTATTTTATCATCATAAAATGTTGACTTTTAAACATTTAAGATTTGTACACGACACTTTTAAAAAACAATTCCCTAAACGTCAATGGACTCTTTAATTAACTACCTGTCCTAACGATATCAGATTAGATAGGGGTCCCTAACCCGCTCTAGGGCCTGTTAGCAAGGGGCCCCCACAGCAAGTGCTGGGCAAAGCAAGTGCCAGCAAGCAAAAAGCTTCATCTGCATTTCCAGCCGCTCCCCATCACGGGGACACAGCCTGAGCTCCGCCTCCTCTCAGATGAGCGAGGCGCTCCATTCCCACAGGAGAGAGAGCCCTAGCGGAACGCCGGTGCAGGGTCCGGGCTGCACACTCCTTTAAGTCATTAAGTCATCCCCGAGACATCATTCCTCCATCCTCCTCCATCGTCATCGTCACCACCTCCTCCCATCTGTGGGGTAACTGTCTTCCACAAAACCAGTCCCTGGTGCCCGGGGACACATCTCCGTGGTCCTCGCTTATGGAAGAAGGGACTCAAGACAAATGCAGTCAGGTTGCAGCCAGTTAGTCTAGGAGCCCAGACTAGATTCCAGGCTTCTGATGTAGAATTACAGAATTCTACAAGTTTAGAATTGAAAGGGACCCAGAAATCACAGGCTGCTTTTTAAGCCAGATTTCCGGGAGGCTTCAGTTTCACAGCAGGCACCTCAGGGGCCACTGGGAAGGCAGGGCTCTGTGCCATGTCGTGCAGCCAAACAACTCTGTTCCTATGTATTACTGTGTTGGATCTCTGAGATTTGTTTTTTGGTTTGGGGGCATTTTTAGACATCCACACTATACTGACCAGGCTGGTCTCAAACTCCTAGGCTCAAGAGATCCTCCTGCCTCAGCTTCCCAAATAGCTGGGGAAAAAGGCACCCGCCATTGCACAGCACCTGTCATTGCCACTTCATTTTCTTAGAAGTGCCCTTCTAGGGCAGTGGTGGTGAACCTATGGCGTGTGTACTGCAGCTGGCTGTTTACTACCATTGAAAGCTCTAAAAGCTTTCCCCCACTATTCCAGGGGGAAAAATAGCCTGTAAGCCACTAGGAGAGTCTAACTCCTACACTGCATAGAAGGGGAAACGGAAGCAGGATCTGACTAGAGCACAAATTGCCCTGGACACCAACCTGATGCTTTTCCTGCCCAGTGTGCCATCCCCCCACACCAGACCCTGTGAGGGAAGAGGATGCGTCCATGCTGACTGAGGATGGAAGGGAACACGGGCTTTCTGGGTGCAGGGAGCCCTGCCGTAGGGTCACAGCCCGGGCCAGGGCCTCTGGTGGCAGACAGGGCGGCATGGGGATAGAGAGAGTGAAAAGGAGGTGGGAACGCAGAAGAGGCACATGGTACACATCCCAGGGCATCAAGGGGGCACCTGTGTGGTGCACAGTGCCTTGGGTACCCACCCTGATTTTGTCGTTCTCAGTCTTGTCCTCCAAGTCCTCATCAAACTCCTTCTGGGGGTAGAATTCAATGCCATTTACTTCGAGCTCCTTACGAACCTAGAGGCAGGAAGGAGAAGCAAAGTAGCCAAGTGTCATCACAGAAGACGTGTGTGTGTGTGTGTGTGTGTGTGTGTGTGCATGTATGGGAGCTAAAGTCAGAGAAGTGATAATCCAGAGTCACCTCAGCTCCGAGGCCCTGGGCAACAGGAAGGTCCTGCTGGGGAATGCAAGCCATTCCATAACTACACACCCCACCGGGACAGGAGGAGGGGTCTCGAGGTGCAGGCCCAGGCCTCCGGCTCCTTGCACAAAGTGGACATGTCAGGGTGCAGGATTTGGGCAAGAGGCACAGCTCAGTCCAGAAGCCCCTGGACAGTGCTGGCGGCCTGGGTACTCATCCCTGTTTGTAAGGAAAAGAGATGAGGCCCCCAGCTCAAGACCTCTGGCAGTCACCTTTCAAGGATGGCTAAAGTCTCACCTCCTCCAGGGTGCCATGCAGGCCTCTTCAATGTTGTCTGAAGTTTTATTTGTTTTTTGTTTTGTACTAGAAATTGAACACAGAGCCTTCACACTCAGCTACAACCCCAGCTCCCACCCCCTTTTTAAACTTTGAGACAGGGTCTCAGTCACTAAGTCGTCCAGGCTGGGCTCAACCTGCAATCCCCCCACCTCCCAGTGTTCTGGGATTACAGGGGTGCACCACCACCCCTGACCACAACTGTAAGTTTGTTTTTTTTGGTTTTTTTTTTGAGACAGGGTCTCACTATGTAGTTGAGACAGAACTGGAACTCACTATGTAGCCCACGCTGGTCTGAAACTCACAGCGATCCTCCTGCCTCAGCCTCCCAGTGCTGGGATTACAGGCGTGAGCCACCATGCCAGGCTGTAAATTTCTTAAAGGTTGCAACCATCTTTCCATTTCTCTCACGTCCTCCCTCCCCTACCCAAAAGGAAACCAGCCCTGGGCTGACAGTCAGTGAGGACGAGCAGGGGATTTCATTGACTAATAAGTCTAGTCTTCAAGTAATCTAAAGTCTGAGTCATTTCATGTTCACAGTGACCAATGTATCCCGTGACTGTGGCAGGCAGGTGTGGAGGGTGAACACAGGGCAGCCTCCAGATGCACCGACCTCTTACCTTTGGCCCATGGGTACCACAGCTGCCAGCCCAGCCTCCCAAGTGGTTAAGTGGGTCAGGGAAGGCGGGCAGTGAGGGTGAAGGCAGTGATGAGAGCAAGACGACAGCCTGAACCCAGGGGGGGCAGGGCGAGCTGGAGGAAGGGGCCCCTCACCCTCTGCTTGAATTCAGACTTCTCCTCCGGGGTCATGGTGTCGGCCTTGGCGATGACGGGGATGATGTTCACCACTTTGCTGAGGTGCTTCATGAACTCGAGGTCCAGGGGTCGCAAGCTGGGGCCCAGAGAAGGTGGGACCGTCAGTCACCTGCCACCTCCCCAGCTCCCCACGTCTTCCGCCCACACAGTCCCTCGTGTCCCTCGCTCCCCTTTCTTCTTTCCTGTCCATGCAAACCCTGCCTCATTAGGCCCCACCTCAGGCCACCACCTTTTCTGACCTAGGGGTTCTCTGTCCTGGGAACATCTCTGGATGGCGTCCCTATCCACACGTCCTTACGTTACGGCTACTCCTGTGTGTCACATTCTGCCTGCAGGACTGTACTGTTTTTTCCACAACATTGAAGATTGAACTCAGAGAATTTTGAGCTAAATCCCCAACCTTCTTATTATTTTGAGACAAGGTCTTGTTAAATTGCCCAGACTGGCCTCAAACTTATAATCTTCCTGCCTCAGCCTCCCCAGTCACTGGGATTACAGGCATGGACCACTATGCCCAGCTACGGTTGAACTTCTTGACAGGCCTCTGCCAAGCCCCCAGAATTAGTCCTGCAGGGCTTAGCTGATAGGTGTGCCCCTCGCCAAGGCCAGGCATCTGCACCTAGGGCTCTGGGGCCCCGATCTGGCTCTGGTTTGCAATCAGGGACTCATTAAGTGAGGTCGTCTGTGATTCCTTCTGACCACGGGTCAAAGACTAAGGAGGGCTAAAAGACAACCTTTTACTGAGGTCCCGCACCTGGACACATCCTCCCTCCCCCATCACTGAAGACCTGAGTACCCGATGCCCCCAAAGCCCAGCATCTACCTTGCTCACGCCAACCTTAAGAACAGAGCTCAGGCCTGGCACTTGGCCTCAGTAACAAATCATGAGACACACACTCCCCTGCAGGAAGGTCGCTTGAGATACCAGTGGATCCCTGGCCTCTGCCTATGCCCACACCTCCCAGCATGTGGCCCACCTGCTCCTCCCAAACTGACTTCTCAGAATCTCCTGCTGTGGTCAGCCTTCATCTCTATACCCCTGGCCTATGTGCCAGGCTGGCCATCCTGCCAAACTACTAGCCCCCGTCTTACCCTTCCTGCTAACCCCCAAACCACTAGCCTTGTCCAAAAGCAGATACTCATTGGACAAATGAGGTGCCCTCTGCACCCATATACCAAGTCCTCTGTCTGGTACAGCTGTGCTGCGCTGGGACCCCAGTGGGCAGTATGGGGGCTGATGATGGCCAGCTTTCGCCTTCTGGAAAGAAAGTCAGACTTCCTTGTTGGAAAGGCTGAGAAATCCCAAGGCCATGGGAATCCCAAGGTCCATCTGGCCCTCCCCAGCTGAGAACAGGTACTGATCATCCAATCCAGAGCAGGCATCGGTGACATGAACCCGAGCCACACCCAGCAGCAGGGGAGGAAGTGGTACATACGAGTGTCCAGTGGGGGAGATGAAGTAGAGGCAGCAGTGGACACGAGTATCAGGAATTCGCTTCTTCCTGGCAATGTTCACCTCCTCCTTCAAGAACTTCTCGTACTGCTCGTTGATGTACTTCTCAATGGGCTCCCAGCTGAGGGGTGGGAACGCATCAGGACACATCAGGAGCTCATCGTAAGCCCCTGCACTTCTCTCGCGTCCTACTTCACCCCGTAGGTCTAGGACACCCAAGGCCGATCGATCCTCCCTCGTCCTGCCCAACACGGATGATTTCCAAGGGCAGTTACCCAAGGCAGAACTCCCCGGGGACCCCGTCTCCGCCTGGGTTCTAGGGACCTGCAGGTGCAGAGAGTGCTCAGCAGGAAAGAATCTGTTCGCATCTTGGCAGACTGTTTAGGGTGAAACTCTCAGGGGCAGACACATACCAGTTTTCATTGTTGATCTGGTCTCCGAAGCCTGGGGTGTCGATGACAGTCAGCTTCATTTTGACACCACCTTCCTCAATCACTGAGGAAGAAACAGAAAGGGTGTCTGAGACACCAGTGCTCTAGGTGCCCTAGGTGATCTCGGGAGCACGGCAGTCCACTGGCAGCCTCTCTTTTCCCCAGGACCAGTGATTGGAAAGGAAGAGTTCAGAGTCTTCTCCACCTCAATAACCTTTGCTCATGCTCCTGGAACACGCTCTCTACTTTTACTTCTGTCTGAATCCTACCTGGGCCATTTCAACTAGCTTAAGACCCACTTTTTTTCCATTCTACTCACCTGCTTCTGGGACCAGCAGTCTGAGGAGTTTGCTTCATGTCATTTAATGCTGAATTCCTCTCTGTCCTGACGTTGTCTTCCACGTGTCTTATTCCCCAGAAAACCTCATCCCTTCCCCTTTCTGCACAGGCCGCTCTAGACAAAGCCCATGCAGGCCCTGGCTGGTCCTCACCATGCCCAATAGCTTTGATCTCCACCGTCTTGGGAATCTTCTCCTCCCGGTTCCAGCTGGCGGCTTTGCGGCTCACTTGGGATTTGAAGAGTGTGTTGACCAACGTTGACTTGCCCAGTCCACTCTGGCCTGCAGCAAGGCAAGGGAGGGAGATAAGGTGGGAGACACCCGCGTCCACCTCCTGAGCCTCGCAGCTCTCAAATGAGCCGACAGAATTCCAGGGCTGTGATCCAGCGCAATGGGTGGAGGGGCCGAGCAGAGAGGAGGCAAGTGGGAATGGCCTCCTGCTTACTGGGGAGGGAAATGTCAGATGGAGTGAAAATTCTCCCTTCTCTCTTCCCTGGAGTCCCAGGACCATTGCGAGAGGGAACAACCGCTGACTTTACCTACGGTAGCATTTTTTTATTTTGGTTTGGCCTTTTGTTGAAGTTGTCCACCTTTAACAACACTAAAAGAAAGAAGAAAATCACTTTGCATGCTGACACTGCCTCATAGTGCCTAAGCAGTTTCCCATCTGTTCACAAAATCCATCTTCCTATCAGCGCTGTGAGCCACGGCACAGCTATCTTTATCCCCAGTCGAGATGGCCCCAGCGAGTTTAATCCTTTTGCAACATAAAATGTATGCAGGGCAATATAACTGGTAAATGCAAGACCAGGGACTTGAACCTCTTGGCTTCATATGTGCTCTTTCTTCGAGTGTCGTATTTTCTACAACCGTGCTCCAGAAGCCCTAGCGTCCTGTTCAGTACACGCCAGTCAGGGCACTGCAGGGGGAGGAGAGAGCCAGGCAGCCAGGGCCACAGCACTAACATCTCCACCTCCCTCACTCTGGCTCCCTGTGTACCTGTGTCACCTGAGCAGCCCAGCGGGAGCACGAACTTCCAAGAAGAGGCCACAGCTGAGATGCACTGAGAACACGGGTCTAAGCTGCGCCTCGTGAGGTTTAACGTGCGCACGGATCACACGTGAAGAGCGGCACGGGCATCGTCTGGATGTGTGCGAGAAGCATCCGCGCCAAACCCACAACCCAGACCTGCTGTCTGACTGGGCTCCCAGAAGAAGCCCAGGGACAGGGAGGCCTGAGCGGTGCTGCTCCAGAGCATTCTTGCAGCCTAGCAGAAAGAAAACCAGGCTGGGAGGCAAGAGCCGAGGGTTTGAGACCCAACTGTGGTGCTTGCCCAGAAGGCCTCTTGGATGTCACATGTGCCCCTCGAGGCCTCAGTCTTTTTATGACCCAAAGGCAAGGGGGAGGGGAATGGACGAGACTACGGATGGAGAACAAGGTGCATTTCTCATTCCAGCTAATCAGCTGGCAGAAGCCACCCAGATCCATTCTACTCAAACGGCTACATCTGAGGGGCCAGGGATTTGGCTCAGTGGTTCCACTGCCTGCCTCACAAGCGCAAAGACCCGAGTTTGATCCCTGGTACCAAAAAACAAACAAACAAACAAACAAAACCCAGCTACTGTTCTGTGCTAAACATGTGGCTGCCACGGACAGGAATCTAACTTGTCCTGAGGTTAAAGGGAAGTCATCAGAGGGCTGTCAAGTGGGAAGGACGACTTGATGAGTTCTTCGGGGTGACAAGCTTATCCAGGCACCTGATGCAAAACAGCTTAGAGGAGAAAGGAGACAGAGACCCAGGAGGCCTGGTGCCACTCCGGGTGTTTCTTGTCACCTGGCTGCCTGCCGAATCCATGAACCATCCGAGTTTTGTACCAGGAGGTGAACCCCGCATGTCCCTGAGCACAATACTTAGCCAGCTGACTTTTCCTAGAGCAAAGCAATGCAGATGGGTTACACTCTGGCCCAAGCTTCTTGTCTCGCTGCAGGTTTCGACTCTGGGCAGCGCTGAGGCAGGTGGCCGAGGAGTTAGACTCCTGTCCGTGGCAGGCACATGTTTAGCACTGAGCCCAGATGTAGCTGTTTTTGTTGTTTTTGGTGCCAGGGAGAGGCCTCATTGGCCTAGGAGGGTAGTGGCAGGCATGAAGAGAAGCATGTGGCCTCAGAGGCATTTAGAAAAGAAAGGGACAGACTTTGTGACTGCTTCAGTTGGAGGAAGAGGAAAGAAAGTGTGCCCAGCTCCCTGTTTCACACTGAGTGAACTCAGACCTCACTCAGATCTGGCAAAGGTCCCCATTCATTCTATGACCCAGTGATGGCTCTCAGTGACCAAAATCCTTGACAATTCTCTTGAAGCTTTTTTTTTCCCCAGTACTGGGGGTTGAACCCAGGGCCTTTGCACTGACCACATCCCCAAGCCTTTTCTTTTCTTTTTTGGTGTGGGGGATGGGGTCTCACTAAATTGTTAAATTGCCCAGGTTGAGCTTAAGCTTTCAATCCTCCTGCCTCAGCCTCCCAGAGTGCTGGGATTATAGGCATGTGCCACCACACCTGGCTTCAAAGTTTTAAAGTATCACAAAGGATTAGAAATAAGACCACCTTCCATCTGATCCTCCCCCCTGCTCTTGGAGGTAGAGAGGACACTGCTGACTCTCCCATGCCAAAAACCTGAAAGCAAGAGCAGGGTGATGAGGAAGCTGCCCACCTACACCCAGCTGGAGGCAGAGCCAGGCTGGCCACCCACTCAAAGCTCCCACTCCTTGGATCAATAACTCTGGGGAAAGAAAAGGCTCAGGCCTTTGTGAGTCACACGGCAAATCCTCCTGAAAGAACTCATCCTAGAGAGGCCATGGCTGAGGCCATTCTGAGGAAAGAAATGGGATCCAAGCGCCACCCACCCCAAGCCCTCCAGGGACCCCATGGCCTTCCTTACCCACCACCATGATGTTGAAGTCAAAACCGGTCTTCATAGTCTTCTTGCGCATCTGCTCGATGATGGTGTCGATGCCAATGTAGCCCAGCAGGTTGGAGTTGATGCTGGGCTTCATGGGCACTGCCGGCTTAGGCCTGGGCTCGGGCACCAGCTCTGACATGGCTGCGTCCGTCCTGGTCTCGGGGAGCCCTGCAGAGCCAGGGCGGGAGGGGCAGGTGGGACAGACGGAAGGACAGCAGAGGTCACGTGGAAGCCACCGATATGCACTACTACTCGGAGTTGGAACTAGAAGGGATTTTAATGTGACCCAGTGTGGGTCCCTCATTCCATAGATGAAGAGACAGGCCCAGTTGGCAAAGGACTTGCTTAAGAACACAGAGTAGGCCAGGTGCAAAATCGGCAGCAATAACAAGTTCTCCAGCTGTTGGGCACTTGCCCCAAAGCACAACTGTGTGTCTAACAATATCCAGACAGATTCTTTCTTACAAGGGTGTGTCCTGCACCTTGTTTAATGGCACCCCTGGTCTCTACCAGATGCCAGTGACCCTCCAGTTGTGGCAACTAAAATATCTCTAGGTGGTACCAACTTCACCCCAGTAGAGAACTGCTGGTCTAAGAAATGTCAGGGGTTATTCAGACCTAAGTCCTACCTTGCCAAAAAGGACAAAGACACTTTGGGATCCTAGGTCTCACATCTATCGGCCGTCACTGGCTTCCACTGCTTTGTCTCCTAGAAGCAAACAGGGCTGCTCTTCTCTGCAGAGAGGATCACTCCTTCCTCCCACCTCAGTGTCCCCTCTGTTCTGTGAGCAGCAAAGTAGGGGTGTCAACACCCTCTCGGTCACAGTTTTGAGTCCGTGGGATGAGACCCCAGTGAGGGCAGTCACTTGCCTAAAATGACACGCAGTGCTCTGGGAATGTTGGGGCAGTGGAAGAAACAGCCCTACCGAGCAGGGCAAGGCCACAGTCTCTAGCTCTGGAAGCTCACGGGTGTTTTGACACACAGGAGAGATCTGTGGGGTCCACCACAGGTCACTGCCGACCAGCACAGGTTCTAGAATAAAGTGGCCCCATCTCCCTATCCATAAAATAGGTGGGTGGGATGGACATGGGCAGCCCACCTCCTCTCTAGGAGCCTGCTTCCTCCTCTGTGGAATGGTCAGGTTCTGATTAAGGCTGCCGTGAGCACTACCTGGGATTTGATGCCTAGAAGCACTGAATGTGGTGCCTCAAAGCCCAGATCCTCTTCCCCTGCCCCTCCAAGTTCGCAGGCTCATCTGGAGGGCAGATGGAGTGGCAACACTTGTGAAAGGTGCGGGCCCCAGAGGCTAATTTCACAAGTACAGCTACTGGCCTCCAGGCTCCCTGAGGACACCTTCCAGCTCTGCCTTTCTAGAATCTCACAGTTCATGATCATCACCCTGCAGAGTCTCAGCCTTTCAGAGAAGACTAGGCCTGATGGAGCAGCAGATGGGCAGGAGGGAGCGGGGACCGGAGCTCCTGCCTCCCCACCCCCAAGGCTCGCCAGGAATCCGCTCTTGCACCCCTGCCACCTGGTCCTTTCACCGGTATAGGCAAGACACTCTGTCCCCTGTCACTCCCAGGCACAGTCAAATCTGAAAAAGCCTTGGAACCTCCCCCAGGGCCTTTTGGGCTCCCTCTTGCTTCCCAGGAAGCTGTTGCCAGCCAGGTGGCTCCAGAGGGCAATAAGATTGGCTCAGCCCTGCGGCAGCTGACTCTCAGCAGCCTGGTTTGCTCCTCCACTCACGCCCGTGGCTCAGGGCCCCCACCTGCACCAAGGGCCCATGCCCCACTTCTCCTGTCCAGCTGCTCACACAGCCTGGCCCTTTCCATTGCCCTTATGCCTCAGCACCTGAGCCCACTTGGTCTCTACAACCTGTCTGTGAAACACGTCCATCTAGGGCTGGGTGTGGTCTGAATCCCACTTTACAGGCCTAAAAAGTTAGCCATGTGTTGGGGGGGGGGTGTTCTCACAAAGCACGTGTCCTCACCATGGCCTGCTCAGTCCTGGCCTGTCACCTGCAGCACCCTGACAAAGTACTTTCTCCCGCAAGACAGACTCTGATAGGCTGGCTGTGGGCAGATCTCATTTATTCTTTCAGTGAACACATATTAGCACCTATTGTGTGCACCACACAAAGCACCTGCTGGCAAGTCAGGCCCCTCCCCACACAGGCCAATTACATGCCTATCACAAGCTAACAGCCTCCGATCAACCAGAAGTACTGCAAGCATACCGCCAAGGACACGCTTGAATCTCAAACAAGGTCACTGCCCCCTCCCCCAAGGCGAGGGTGCCTAACAAGTACAGCAACACCTCCAGGGCACAGAGCAAAAGCTGTTCTGAAGTTAGATTCTGTGGCTCCATCCTCTATCCCTACAACAGGCCTCAGATAGGCAGCTGGCCCAGGCTTGAATCCTGGCTGGGTGACCACTGTGAACCTCAGTTTTCTCCTCGGAAAGTGAGGACAGCATCTGTCTTGCTGGGTTGCTGTGCTGGTTATACAAACGCATGGGCGTGAATTAACTGGCACTGCATGCACGTCGGTCTCCACCCTCCTTTAAGGCAGGGGCCGTGGCTCATTGAGCTCCGTGGCCCAGGTACCTAGCATAGGCCAGGCCATCAGCAGTGGATGAGTGATGAGTGGTTGAAAGCCCCACACAAGGCAGGTGTCGCTTCAAACCGTCACCTGTCTCCCCCTCAGTGGCTGCGCTGTACGCAGCAGCTGACCCTCAGCCAGCAAATGGCTGCGGCGTGGGCCACAGTTGAAGGAGCGAGCTCCTCCTCCCCTGCCACTGATATTGGTGGGGCTCCGCAAGGGTGGGAAGAGCTCAGGGTGAGGGTGACAGCAGGATGCAGCTCAAATATGCCACCCAGGCCACATCGTCCTTCAGGCCCCTCCTGCACTCACAGCTCTCCCACGGGCCCTGGAGAGGAGGGAATCTGTCTGCAGCATCCCTGCCAGGAGCCACCTGTCCATCTCGCCTTAGGGACAGGCACTGTCCACCTGACACAGGAACAGCACCCTTCATCCCCAGGGCGAGCAGGGACGCTGGTACTTTCTCAAACAGGCAAACAAATCGCTTTGTCTTTGTCCAGCCCAGGGACCTCACCCCTCTGTTGGGAAGGTGGCAGTAAGAATGGACCTCTCCAGAATAGCACTTGCCTCCCGGCCGTAGGGCTGGACCCTCTTCCTTTCCTTCCAAGTTGGGGGGGTCTCCCAAGCTGGGGGGTCTCCACCAGCTTTCCAGACCCCACCCCCACCGGGACGGAAATCGTAGGGCACCCCAGCTCCAGTCCTGGGTGCTTAGGAAGGGAATCACAATAGATACCTTCACCCTTCCCCACTCGGAGAAGCAAAGGGCCCCCAACAGCCCCTTCCCCCACCCCAGTCTTCAGGAGGTCCATGAGTTCCCTTGGAGACCACCAGCTGGTGCCTGTCTGTGTGGGGGAAGGGGACTGATGTGTCAGCCGGCGCAAGGTCTCATCCCCTCTAGGTGGCCCTGGTACCTGTGCATGCACGGTGTGCGTATGTTTCTCGGGGTGCTCCAGCATGGGCTATGAGCATCTGGGTCCCCGTTCCTGTGAGCGCCTTCTTCCGAGACTGTCAGTCTCGGGGTGTGTGCCACCATGCGTGCGTGTCCGTGCATATGTCACCGCGCGTGGGCTCCTCGGCGCGGCGACCTCCCCCTGCTAGCACGCCCGGCCGCGCTTGCATGCACGGTGTGCGTATGTTTCTCGGGGTGCTCCAGCATGGGCTATGAGCATCTGGGTCCCCGTTCCTGTGAGCGCCTTCTTCCGAGACTGTCAGTCTCGGGGTGTGTGCCACCATGCGTGCGTGTCCGTGCATATGTCACCGCGCGTGGGCTCCTCGGCGCGGCGACCTCCCCCTGCTAGCACGCCCGGCCGCGCTTGTGGC